GCCACGTCCCACAAGTGGCAAGGCAGAAAGTGGGAGAAAGGAGAGTGAAAAGGCTAGGGGGACAGAGTGAGGAGTCAACCGCAGGGATCCAGGTAAGGAGAGGTTGGAGAGGTTTCCTACAGCTAAAGGAGACAAACTTGTCTGTTGGTTTGTCCTACTGTGGTGATATGTTGCTGTGAGTCTTGAGGCTGTGTTTCAAACACAGCGGGGCGCACATGGTGCACAGCTATCAGCCCAGCTTGCAGACTGAGACAGACTAGGAAGAATGAAGAGGCCATCCACTTCTCAAAGAATTGGCCAGGGAAAACCTTATGAATAGCAGAGAAACACTGTCTGTTATATTACTGTGCAACATTATGAATAGCACAGAAACACTGTCCAATACAGTGAAGGAAGATGAGCCCTTCAGGTCAGAAGACTCTCAAAATATGATGGGGGAAAGAGCTGCATCATCAGAGTAGAAAAAACTTTACTGATTTGGATAAATAAAGCTTTCAAAACCTCCATTTGCTGACTTGGCATGACTCAAGTTGAGGAGAAACAGCTGTCAATTTCCATTAATAATTGGAATGTGGAATGTATGAAGTATGAATCTAGGAGAATTGGAAGATGTCAAAAATGAAATGGAACAACACATAAAGATTGATATCCTAGGCATTCGTGAGCTGAAGTTGACTGTTTTTGGCCATTTTGAATCAGACAACCATGTTGTTGTTGTTGTTGTTATTTGCCGTTGAGTCGGCCCCAACTCATAGCGACCCCTCCTTGGGTTTCCGAGGCAGTATCACTATGGAAGTAGGATTGCCCAAACTTCCTTCCAAGGAGGACAACCATATCATCTACTATGTTGTGAATGACAATTTCAAGAGGAACAGAATGGCATTGATCATCACAAATGATGTTTCAAGATCTGTCCTGAAGTACAATGCTGTCAGTGATAGGATAATATCCATACACCTACAAGGAAGATGATTTAATACTACTGTTATTCAAATTTATGCATCAACCACCAAAGCCAAAGATGAGGAAATTAAAGATTTTTACCAACTTCTGCAGTCTGAAATTGACCAAACACGCAATCAAGATGTGTTAATTATCACCGGTGACAACGCTGGGCCCATGTTCAGAAAGGAATGTCGGTACAAGGAAGCCACCACAGTCATGATAATGTAACAACAAAAAGAAAGTTTATTTGCTAGCTCGAGCTAGGGTCCCTGCTCTCGCCGACGCAGCAGCTTGGGCAAAAGACCTCATGCTCTTTTACTATTGCATTTTTATAAGAAAAATACAGGGTGGAGTAGGACCAGGGCAAAGGGGTACAGATGATTGGTTGTTGCTAAGGGGTTTAGGGCAGGGGTCTGAGAAGTTGGGGGGCGGGTTGGAATCCCCCGGCTTCAAAGTCTAGTTAGAGAATTATTATCTATGGAGGGTGTAAAACCCTGATGAGTGGGAGACTTGCTGGAGCCAGGCAAATCTCTGATAAAATCCCTGAGGCATGGGATGTGTTAGAATCTCCGACACTAAAGGCTTCTGGTTAAAGATTTACCTGGAGGCCATTAGGACTCAGGCCTCACATTTCCCCCCTTTTTTATTATGCATATGAGGAATCTTCCTCCTGTATTACAGGAGATAAAGACTGATATTGTTGTCTCAGGACCATAAGTTGTACAGTATTAACCCTATCTTTTACAAATGATATAAGCTTATTTATAATGCAGGGACCAAAGTCAATATAATTATAAGGATTATGAAGGGTCCTAAGAGAGTAGATATCAAAGTAGTCAACCACGGAGAGTTATTAAACCAAGATTTGAACAATCCTTCCTGAGTCTCATGCTCCCTTTTTCTTAGGGCAAGTCCTTCTCATACCTTGGCGATAGATTCCTGAACTACTCCCATATGATCTGCGTAAAAGCAACACTCTTCTCCTAGAGCTGCACATAATCCTCCTTGTTGGAGAAATATAAGATCTAACCCTCCGCGGTTTTGTAACACAACCTCCGGTAGCGAGGTTAGAGATTTCTCTAAATTTGAGATAGAGGCTTCTATCCTTTCAAGGTCTTCGTCTATAGCTGCCCCCAGGGAATTCATGCCTTGATTCTGTACAGTTAAAGAAGCTATTCCTAGACCGGTTCCTGCTAGGCCAACCAGAGTAGCTAGGGTAAAGGCTGCAGTGAGCGGTTCTCTTTTTACTCTATCAGTCCCGCCCCATTGTACATACATCTCTTCCTCCGGGTGGTAAAGAATTCAGGGCAAAACAGTCACTAGCACACAATGATCTGAGGACAGATTAAGTACTTTCAAGTTTAAAAAAGTTAAAAGTCTAGCTCTTGAGCAAAGCCACCAACCCCTTTCCCTGGGAATGATCCAGCTAAAGGACGAGTTTATTTCTGTATACGAGGCACAATGTTCTTGTACGTTGGGGGGTTTCCCCACACATGAGCCCTTTCCTGTTATATGTTGTGTAGTAACTCCTACCTTATGGTCTTTCCAGGAGCAATTCTTTGGGTTCAGATCATGAGAATAGCTGAAAGAGGTATCAATGCCTATTGCTTCATAAAATGGAAGTTTTACATCGTAACAGAGCCAACAGGCTTGAGTCAGGTTAGGACTAGTACGGTTAAGCGTTTGGTAAGCTGCTAGCACTAAATTCCAAAGAAGGGTCCATGTCCTGAGGATTGGCTTGGACCCTCGGAGTCGCATGGGGGACTCTTACTGTAACATCAGGGGTTACAGTGCTCGGTTCTTTCAACGTCTTTCTTGTAGAGGGTGGGGTTTCTTTTCCCGGGGGTTTTAACACTTCATTTGGACCTACTGACCCGGCATCTAAGGGCTCTACTTCCTGTAAAATAGTTATCTCCCCAGATGGGTAAGGGTATGAATAAACT